ATAATTGCCCTGTACTTATTTGTTTGCATTGTTTATGCTTTATAAATTTTTTTCTACGGTCTCCATCAGATCCTTCAAATACCAACAATATAATATTTTCAAAAGCACTGAAATGGCCCTAGCCGGTTTGGTTCAGTGGATAGAGCGTCGACCTGCGGACTCAAGGGTCCCGGGTTCGATTCCGGTCAAGGGCATGTACCTTGGTTGCGGGCACATCCCCAGCGGGGGGCGTGCAGGAGGCAGCTGGTCGATGTTTCTCTCTTGATATTTCTAACTCTATCCCTCTCCCTTCTTCTCTGTAAAAAAATCAATAAAATATATTAAAAAAAAAAAAAAAAAGCACTGAAATGCACCTTGGATTGTGTTGCTCAGAGGTTAGAGTGTCGGCCCAGGCCACCGAAGGGTCGAGGTTTCGGTTCCTGGTCAAGGGCACGTGCCTGGGTTGCAGGTTCCATCCCAGCTCTGCTCGGGCGTGTTTGGGAGGCAACCAGCAATGTGAGACGCATCGATGTTTCTAGGCTTCTCTCTCTACCTCCCACTTCCCTCCCTTCCACTCTCTCTAAAAAAGGCAATGGAAAAAAAATCCTCCGATGAGGATTAACAACAACAAAAAGGCACTGAAGTGCAGCGGTCACCCACTTACCTCCTAGAATCCTCCCTCCCCCCGCCTGGCGTCCTGCTCCGTCCTCGGCCCGCTGCCCCCCCCCGCCCCCCCCCCCCCCCGGGCTTCCTCCCACCACTGTCCTCTACTGGAATCCTTGTTTCCCAGCTCCCAATAAGGGCACATGCCCGGGTTGTGGGCTCAATCCCCAGTGTGGGGTGTGCAGAAGCACATTCTCTAGGGCCCATGGCAAACTCTGGCTGGTGTGCTGGGGGGATGGGGGAGGCGGGGGAGGTGTTGTGGGTGCAGCTGTTCCAGAGCGTCACCTGGCAGTTTCAGTCAAATGCAGAGCACTCGGGCCCAGGATCTACTCGTGAGCACACGTCCAAGGGAAAGGCGCGCGTGGGCCCCTAAGAGGACAGGTGTGAGGATGGTCACAGAGACGCCACCTGTGCATGTGTGCACACAAAGCCTTCGGATTTCTGTACATAATTTTATTCCCCATCACAATACATTATCTTAATAGCAGTGTTCTAGTTGATTCTCTTGGGTTTACTAAGTACTTGATCATAACATCGACAAATAGTAAAGGTTTTACTTCCTCCATTCTGATGTTTATGTATGTAATTTCTTCCTCTTGCCTGGTTGCTTTGGTTAATACCTTCAGCACAATGTTAAACGGTAGTAGAAACAATGGACAGTCTTGTCCTGACTTTAGTAGGGCTAGGTAGGGCATTTCATTTCATTTATTTTAATTTTTATTAGACAACTAGAGGCCTGATGCATGAAATTCATGCAAGAGTAGGCCTTCCTTCCCCTGGCTGCTGACACCGGCTTCCCTCTGGCACCCGGGACCTGGGCTTCCCTTGCAGCCCTGGCTTCGTCCGGAAGGAGGTCAGGTCTAATTAGCATATTATGCTTTTATTATTATAGATTGGATTTCTTTTACTTTTTATTGAGGTATAAGTTACATACAAAAATCGTAAGTGTAGTGTAGTGCTTGATAAAGTTTTCCATATGTACACCCCCAAATTAAAATATAGCATTTCCAGCATCCCTGAAAGCTCCCCGTGTCCTCTCTCAATCATTGTTTCCCTCAAAGATCACCACTACTGTGACACCATTAGTTAGTACTGTCTGTTTTTTTTAAAGATATATTTTTATTGATTTCAGAGAGGAAGGGAGCGGGGGAGAGAGATAGAAACATCCATGATGAGAGAGAATCATTGATCAGCTGCCTCCTAGACACCCCTTACTGGGGATTGAGCCTGCAGCCTGGGCATGTGCCCTGAATCAAACCGTGACCTCTGGGTTCATAAGTCAATGCTCAAGCACTGAGACACGCTGGTCGGGCAGTATTGTCTGTTTTGTTCTGTGTCTGGTTACTACTACTCATTAAGTCTGTGGGATTCACTTATGTTGATGTGTGTAGCAGTGGTCATTTTTTTGGGGGGGTCTTTTAATTTTTATTTCATTACAGTGGTCATTTTTCATTGCTATGTAGTATTCCACAAAAATGTATGAACATACTACAACATGTGCAACCATGTTACAGCTGCTGAGAGACATTTGGGTTGTTTCCAGTGTTGGGCTATTATAAAGAACACTTTTGTATGCTTTTTTTTTTGTAATCATAGTATGCATTTCAGTTATACACCCAGGAGCAGAGTTGGTAGGTCATAGGGTGTATGTGCTTTAGCTCATATGTTTGCTGAGTTTTAGATACTGCAGAACCATTTTCCGCAGTGGTCATACCAATTTACACTTTCAGTTGCTCCATTTCCTCACCAACACTTGGTTTTCCAGTCCTCTTCATTGTAGCCGCTGTAGTGGGAGGGGAGTATAAGGGCACGGTTATGCTTTAATTTGTATTTCCTTGGTGAATGCTGACGTTGAACACCTTTCCACATGATCATTGGCCAGGAGAATGTTGTCTTTTGTGAAGTGTTAAGTTTTGCCCATTTAAAAAATTGTATTGTCTTTTTCTTTTTATTTGCTCTGTGCATTTTTTACAGATAATGTAAAATTGTATTCCAAACAGTTTACATCAATTTACATTCCTATAAAGTTTATGAAGATGCTACTAGTTTTGCCACACTCTCTCCAATGTTGGATATTACCAAATTAAAAAAAAAAATCAATAGATTGCCTCCTGCACAAGCCCCGACCCAAGGCTGGAATTGGCGCTGCAACCCAAGTACATGTCCTTGACCAGGAATCGAACCTGGATCCTTTGGTCTGAGGGCTGACACTCTAACCACTGAGAAAAACTGGACAGGGCCTCAACTTTTTAATATTTGCCAATATGGCAGGGATGAAAGGTATTTCATTATTACTGTATTAAAAAATATATATACTAGAGGCCCGGTACACAAAAATTTGTGCACTTGGTGGCGGCGGGGGGAGGGGGGGTCCCTCAGCCCAGCCTGTGCCCTCTCGCAGTCTGGGACCCCTTGGGGGATGACCACCTGCTGGCTTAGGCCTGCTCCCCGAGGGATTGGGCCTAAGATGGCAATCAGACATCCCTCTAGCAGCCTGGCAGCCCTCGGGGGATGTCCACTTGCCAGTGGGGAGCAGACCTAAGCTGCAGTCAGACTCCTTAGCGCTGCTGAGGAGGCAGGAGAGGCTTCCACCACCACTGCTGTACTGGCAGCCATCAGCCTGGCTTGTGGCTGAGCAGACATCCCCCATGTGGGAACGCACTGACTACCAGAGGGCAGCTCCTGCATTGAGCGTCTGCCCCCTGGTGGTCAGTGTGTGTCATAGTGACCAGTCATTCCCAGTCTTTCTGCTGTTAGGGTCAGTTTGCATATTACCCTTTTACTATATAGGATAGAGGCCTGGTGCACAGGTGGGGGCCGGCTGGTTTGCCCTAAAGGGTGTTCCGGATCAGGGTGGGGGTCCAGCTTGGGTGCCTGGCCAGCCTGGGTGAGGGGCTGATGGCTATTTGCAGCTAGTCACACCCCCTTCAGGGTGGGGGTCCCCACTGGGGTGCCTGGCCAGCCTGGGTGAGAGGCTGAGGGCCGTTTTCAGGCTGGCCGGCAACTGAAGCTCCCAGCCTCTCCTTTTTTTTTATTCTGGGATTTATTTACGTTCTATAATTGAAACTTCATTGCTGTTACTGGAGCTGAGAGCCAGCTCCAGCTCCGTGGCCACCACCGGCTGAAAGCAGGTATATGGGGTTTGTTTACCTTCTATAATTGAAACTTTGTTCCTTACGGAGCTCAGAGCCGGGCCGCAGCAGGCGGGGAACCTTGGCTTCCTCCATCACTGGAGCAAGCAAGCCTCCTGCTCACTTCAGCTGCGTGGCTGCCGGCCGCCATCTTGGTTGGTGGTTAATTTGCATATCGCCCTGATTAGCCAATAGGAAGCATAGCGAAGGTACAGATAATTACCCTTTTTGTCTTTTATTAGATAGGATTATTAGATAGGAGAATATATATATATATATATATATATATATATATATATATATATATATATTTGATTTTAGAGAGAGAAGGGGAGAGGGAAAAAGAGCTAGAAACATCCATGATGAGAGAGAATCATTGATCAGCTGCCTCCTGCATACCCCACACTGGGGATTGAGCCTGCAGCCCAGGCATGTGCCCTGACTAGGAATCAATCCGTGTCCTCTGGGTTCATAAGTCAACGCTTAACCACTGAGCCATGATGGCTGGGCTTATTACTGTATTTTTAACTTTCTTTTTAAAATTGTGTAGGGATGCAGGCCCTTGCTGGGTAGCTCAGTTGATTAGAGTGTCATCCTGATGTACCACGATTGTGGGTTTGATCCCTGGTCAGGTACATACAAGAATCAACCTATGAATGCATGAATAAATGGAAAACAAATTGATCTGTCCTTCTCTTCTCTCCCTTCCTCTCTCTCCAAAATCAATTTAAGAAAATTTAAATTGTGGAAAGATTCATACACACACATATAGATATGCAAAAGACTATGTAAAATATATATGTGTATAATTAAAAGACTGGAAATAGTCCTAGCTGGGTTGGCTCAGTGCATAGAGTGTTGGCCTGCGGACCAAAGGGTTCCAGGTTTGATTCCGGTCGAGGGCATGTACATTGGTTGCAGGCTCCCAGTCCTCGTCGGGAGCATGCAGGAGGCAACCTATCGATGTGTCTCTCTTACATCGGTGTTTCTCCCTCTCCCTCTTCCTTTCACTGTCTCCAAAATTCAATAGGGAAAAAATATCCTTGGCCCTAGCTGGTTAGGCTCAGCGGACAGAGCATTGGCCTGCAGACTGAAGGGTCCCAGGTTCAATTCTGGTCAAGGGCACATGCCTGGGTTGCGGGCATGATCCCTAGAAGCGGGTGTGCAGGAGGCAGCAGATCAATGATTCTCATCATTGATGTTTCTATCTCTCCATTCCTTCCCCTTCCTCTCTGAAAAATATATAAAAAATGAAAAAATATCCTGAGGTGAGGATTTAAAAAAAGGGGGGGGGATAAAACCAATACCAGCGTACCCATCAGGTTAAGAAACAGAACATTTGCAGGTCTCAGAAGCACCTGTGGCCTCTCTGAGTGGCTCCCACTCTGTCGTCTGTTATCATTTTGTATTATTAGGGTGGGAGGGACACAAAGGCATTCAACACTTAAGGAAGAAATGCCGTTTTCTCATCTGCGGGTCTGACGTGAACAGTGCAGGCGGGTGGGGCAGCTCTTGCTCCACCGGGTCACTTGGGAACCTTTAAGATCAGCGGTGACTGGGCGGACGGTTCACAGGGCAGGCCCAGCACGGGACCCTCCGAGAGGCCTGCTAGCCAGGCTGGCCCTTGGCTGGCATCTGGGAGCTCGGTGTCAGGAGGGCTCCGCCGTCCCCTGAATGACGAGCGGCCCTTTGTGCATAAACTGTGCACGCTGTGTGGGTTATGCCGAACGCCTGCTTCCTTTCTGGGGGTCTGGCAGCTCGGTGTGTGCCAGGCAGAGGGGCCCATGTGGCCAGCCTCCAATCAAAGCCCTGGGGGCTGAGTGCCTAAGTAGCTCCCTGGTTGGCACAGGCCACACGCGCTGTCACAGATTCGATGCTGGAGGAACTGAGTGTGTCCCGTGTGACTCCATGCCTGGCTCCTGCCGGCTCCTCTAGGCATTGCCCATCACCCTTTCCCGCGACTGACTTTCTGTGCATCCTTTGGTGGTAACCAAGCCAAGCCTTGCGCCCAGCTGTCGGCTGAGTCCTGTGAGCCCTCCCGGCGGCTCAGCAAGCCTGGGGCGGTCCCGTGGACCTGAGACTGCGTGGCTGTGACGGATGTGGAAATGGGTCGCCGCGGGCGGAGCACTTGGCTGCAGCGCAGGGCGGTCCCGTTCGGCTCTCTCTCAGGAATGGGCTCAGGATGCCTGGGGTTTGCTGTGTTCTCCTTCCTAGTCCATCCTGCCCCACCCCCTGCTCTCAGGAGTAGGTCAGAGCAGAGCATCTTCTGGAGTGAGATGAACTCTGTGAATTCAGGTGGCAGGGGATGGAAGGGAGGCAGCAAACTCACTAGACTAGCACACAGTCCAGGCAAACTAAGGCCAGTAAGAAGCGGGGCCAGGACACCTGGGCCGTCTGTTCTCAGGCTCAACGGTGCTGCATGGCGGTGGGTGTGGCGGCTTTACCTCTCATGCAGAACAAGTACCTGGGGTCTCTTCACCATCTTCCCAAGGACCCCTTGTGCCCCCCCAGCGTTAGAGCTCCTGCTTCCTGTGCTGCTGGCCTCTCTTTGGTAGTCTCTCGTTTTGATGGAACATATCCTATCATAGCTTCCTGAGAAATGGTACACAGAGGGTAGAGTGTTTGAGTCTTTCTATGTCCAACCATGTCTTGCCTCTACCCCGGACTTGACTGATATTTCCCCTGGGATTAGTTACAGGTGGCAAGAAAGTTTCCCTCAGCATTTTGAAAGGATTGTTCTCTTTCATTCAGCAATTTTTAAAAAATATTTTTATTAAATTCAGAGAGGAAGGAGGAGAGAGAGATAGAAACATCAACGATGAGAGAATCATTGATTGGCTGCTTCCTCCACGCCCCCCACTGGGGATCGAGCCCACAACCCGGGCATGTGCCCTGGCCTGGAATCTAACTGTGACCTCCTGGTTCACAGGTCAATGCTCAACCACTGAGCCACACCAGCTGGGCCATTCAACTAATTTTTATTGAGAACCTTGTACATGTCTGGCACCGCCTCTACGTACCTGGATTCATCCGTGAACGACAAAGACCAAGGTCATAGAGACAAAAGTCAAAGAGCTTGTATTCCAGCCTGCCTTCTGGCTTTGGTGTGGCTGCCGCCACGTCTGAAGCCATCCTGGTTTCTGATCCTTCACATGACCTTTCCTCTCTGCAGGCTGGTAGGATCTTGTCTGGTTCCCGAGTGTTCTAGCATTTCACAATGTTGCGTCTGGCGTGGGTGTATTTTTATCCATTTTGCTGGCACTCGGTGGGTTCGTTTACTCTGTGATCTCGCGTCCTTCAGTTCTGGACGTTTCTGTGGAATATCTGTGGATGATCGTCTCCGTGCTTGGAGGTCGGACCTGCTGGGGTGGTCCCCTTTGTTATTCTCCTGTGATTCGTCCCTGTCTCCTGGCTCCTTCCGGGGAGGTTTTCTCAATGTCCTTTTCCAGCCTTTCTAGTCCTTTCGTTCCTGCTATCATGTTTTTAGTATCCAAGAACTTTTTTATTTTCTGCAGTTTCTTACACAAATGTCATACTGTTTTTGCTTCGTGGATGCAGTATCTACTCATCTGAGAATGTCAGCATTGGTTTTAAAATGTTCATCTCCTTGCATAGTCTTTTTCTCCAACGTTGCTTTTCTCCTGTTCATTGGTTCTGATCTCTAAAGCTCACATTTGGAGGCTTCCCTCAGATGTCTGGTTAACCCTTGCTTGTCTGCTTACGATTAAGAGTCGGGGCTAGACCTAGCTGGTTTTGCCCAGTGGTTAGAAGGGTCTCGGGTTCAATTCCCGGTCAAGGGCATGTACCTCAGTTGTAGGCTTGATCCCCAGTCAGGGTCAGGGCATGTGTGGGAGGCAACCAATGGATATGTCTTTGCCACATCAATGTTTCTCTCTCTCTTTCCCCCTCCTCCCTCCCTTCCACTCTTTCTCTCAAAAATAAAAACCACAAAAAACAAAACAATGGGAAAAAAAATCCTTGGGTGAGGATTAAAAAAAAAGTCTAGGGCTAAAAATCTGTTTGAATATCTGAGCACATGGTTTTTAGGACCTTCAGACTTTGGGGTTCAATGGAGGGTAATCTGCATGTGTCGAAACTCTTACGTTTATATCTTGGGAACCGTCAGATTCTCCAGGAAAGAATCTCCTGAGATTTCTGCACAGAAAGTAAGCATTTGGTAGTCAGTGTCCTGGGAGCCTAGTGAGGACAAAAGGATGGGAGCCCAGCATTCAGTAATCATATGCTCAATCTCATTTTCTGTTTTGTCTGCTTTTTAAAAATATGCTTTTATTGATTTTAGAGAGAGAGGAAGGGAGAGTGAGGGAGAGATAGAAACATGGATGAGACCCTCTCCCCGCCCCAGGAGCACCCCGCCCCCCACAGCAGTTTCTCTCTCTCTTTCCCCACAGGTATGCATCTCCTAAACTCTAAGGGACCCCCCCTTCCCCCCCGTGAGGCTTGCAAATATGCTCTTAATCGTAAGGAGACAACCAAGGGTTAACCAGACATCTGAGAGGAGCCTCTAAATGTGAGCTTTAGAGATCAAAACCAACGAACAGGAGAAAAGCAACGTTGGAGAAAAAGACTCTGCAAGGAGATGAACATTTTAAAACCAATGCTGACATTCTCAGATGAGTAGATACTGCATCCACGAAGCAAAAACAGTATGACATTTATGTAAGAAACTTCAGAAAATAAGCATGGGCAGCAGCAGCTGGCCCCAGGCTAAGCCCCTGCCCCTGTCACCAAGGCCCCTTTTCTCTGAGTCCTTAGTGAGCCACAGCAGCCCAGCCTACGCTCACTTCCTTGCATAGTGTCTCTCCTGCTGCTTCTATCGTAGGCCGTTCCTTGTTTCACTGTCCCAGCTTTAAAAAAGTCCTCGAAAAAGAAAAAGAAAAAGAAAAAGAAAAAGAAAAAGAAAAGGAAACATTGAGAGAGAAACATCAACATTGATGGCTTCCTCCTGCACGTTACCAACTGGGGATTGTGAGCCCACAACCCAGGCATGTGACCTGACTGGGAATGGAATCAGTGACCTCCCGGGAGGTCATGGGCACCGGGAGGTCACTTTTTTTTTTAATTTATTTTTTTTAGAGGAAGGTGGGGGGCGGGGGGGGGGAGAGCGAGAGAGTGAGAGATTGAGATTTGTTGTCCCATTCATTTATGAACTCATTGTCTGCTTCTTGTATGTGCCCTGATCAGAGATCAAACCCAAAACCTTGGTGCATCTGGACGCTGCTCTAACCGAGCTACCTGGCCAGGGCCCACTCCTATTTCCAAGATACTGCTTGTGACCTTAATGTGGTTTAGCGTCCCTGTATACAGAAACTCTTCGCTTTGCTTCTTTCAAAGAATAAACCTTCAGTCTTCTGCTAGGATGGGGAATCTAGATTTGCAAGGATATATGTCGAATAAACTCTAAGAAGTGGGATTGCTGGATCAAAACGTACATTTTAGACTTGCATTAGTTATTGCCAAATTATTCTCTATGGAGCCTGTCTCAATTGACACCATCACCAGCAGTATATGAGAGTATCTGTTTCCTCATACCTTGTAAACAGTTATCAAACTTTCTGACTTTGAAAAAAGGTCTTTTTCTTTTTTGAGATCTATGGACCCTATAACATAAAGGAATGGTTTTGTTGGAATTGCCAGCTTAGGAAAAGGTACTGAGTTTAATTAATGAGTCAATCAAGCTCCTTGTGTCTTTATTTTTCTTTTGATAGTATATAACCTGTGAATTCAAGATGGTCTTCTTTATGGAAAAAAGATCATTTCATATCTGCCACTTTAATTTACTTTTTTTTAATTTTAAAATTATTATTGTTTAATTTACATTTTTCTTAAGTGTGAGAGTGAGCATCTTTTACTGGTTGAGAGACATGTTTCCTTTCATGTCCTTGTAAGCGTTTGCTGGCATCCTGTGCCGACTGGACCGTTAGTCTTTATTTCATTGATTTCTAGAAGCTCTTTACTTTTTCCAGTTTCTTGTTTGTTGCTTTGCTTACAGTGGTTTATCAGAAAAGAAAATATTTTTTAAAACAAAGCGAACACTTTTATTTTCTTATTTATTTATTTTTTTTGGTTAATCCTCACCCGAGGATATTTTTCCATTGATTTTTAAGGAGAGTGGAAGAGAGAGGGAAAGACAGAGAGAAATATCGATTAGAGAGAAACATATCTATTGGTTGCCTCCTGCACACACCCTGACCAGGGCCCAGGCCAGGGAGGAACCTGCAACCAAGGTACGTGCCGTTGACCAGAATCGAACCTGGGACCTTTGGGTCCACAGGCTGATGTTCTATTCACTGACCATTGGGCTCAAAGACTTTTATTTTCCATGCAAAGGTGATTCAGAGAATTTATATAAAGGTGGGAGGGGGCAGTGGAGCAGGGAGCTTCCTGAGTGAATTGCTTGTTTAAGTCCTTTGCCTGTTTTTTTCTACTGGGTTGTCTTTGTAATTGATTTTGAAAAGCATCTTTATTTTTAGGGATGTTATCCTCTTGCCATATGTGTTACACATATGTTTTCCAAGTTTGTCATCTTTTTAAATGGTGTTTTGTGCCATGCAAGACATAGAATAAAAATATCCCATGGCTTCTGAGTTTTGGGCTATTTTTAGGAAAGCCTTTCCCATTTCAAGACTATAAATATATTTATTTAAATAGTTTCTTTGTGGACTCTTATGGTTAATTTTTATATTTAAATCTCTGTTCCATCTGGAGTTTATTTTGGAATAAGGAGAGAAGTAGGCGTCTATATTTATTTTGTTATAAATGGCTAGCTGTTTCAATACCTTTCATTAAATTAACCATACCATTTTTATCATGTGTCCATTTTTACTGGGGTCTAATTCTGTACTCTTGTATTCCAGTGATGTTTTAATTAAAGAGGTTTCATAATATTTGGGAGAAAAGTCTCCCCCGCCCCCAACATTACTCTTCTTTTTGAAAATTTCCCATAGCGAGGGAAGCCCAGGTCCCGGGTGACAGAGGGAAGCCGGTGCGGAAGGAAGGCCTATTCTTGCATGAATTTTGTGCATCGGGCCTCTAGTATAGTCATAAATAGCGATCGTTTCATTTTGAGCTTTTTCTTACTGCGCTGGCCAGTGCTTCCAACACATCATCAAATAATGGGATCATGAGTAGAACTTGTGTCATGTCTTTTAACCTTACGTCCAGTGCTCTTTTTGGGTATGTGCTCACCCCACCAAACAGTTCCTGAGCATCAGTTACCTATAAAGCATTGTTCTACATGAGAAAGACATGGTAAAAAGAAAAATAAATTGTTCTATGTCCAAATTAGTAATCTTTTCTTTCCCAGTAGACAGATCTAGAGCCTGTTGATAATCCTTATGCTGTTAAAACCTCTCCAGCAAATTCAATATCCTACCCCAGTGGTCGGCAAACTCATTAGTCAACAGAGCCAAATATCAACAGTACAACGATTGGAATTTCTTTTGAGAGCCAAATTTTTTCAACTTAAACTGTATAGGTAGGTACATTGTTATTAACTTAATTAGGGTACTCCTAAGCTGGCCTTTGCTAAAAACGTCCTCGATCTGATTGAGGTACATTCGCTGAGGCTGACC